TAATATGCTCAGATATTAGCAATCATATAGAATGAAAAGTCTGTAGTCTGCATACCATTGTAGTGGCAGATGAATGCAGTGACGAAAACCGGGACTACAGTGAAGAGATTAATGAATGATGTCAAACCAGTAACATCAGGAAGCAACCTGGGCATCGAAATGCTTCCATTTGTCAACTTAAAAATGGTGATTCCCACTGTAATAACAAGGAACACGAGAGCCAGCACAACTGATAAGGTAGACGTGAAACTCAATGAATCTGCAAGCATGAAAAAACACATACGAGGACCGCATCACAGAGTAAAAAACACAACAGGTGAAAGTGCAACAAAATTCACCAATGACCAAATATAGGGAATTTACTACTCAATCAAGATGGTAAACTCAGATTACATGCAAAAAAATTAAAAATAAAAATAAAAATAAAATAAAATAAATAAAAATGTAAAAATAATGAAGTTTCCTCTTCTTTTTTATTTTATAATTTAAGTAATTATAACAACCAGTGTTTCAGCTCTTTCTGGGTAAGTTAACCTGCTGAGATCTTTGAATCCAGAGGAGTGTAATTATCAGGCTATCCATCAGATCAGACAGACAAAAATACAGTATTCAAGATAAGTACAAACCACCAAGATAATTCGAACAAATGAAACACAATTGAGCGTATTGAGGCACCTTCATCCAAAGTTCAACTTGTGGTGGTTAATTAAGAATAAGACACAAGTAAAAGAAATACCAGTGGAACTTATTTCCACTACGAGCTTGCTAATTATGTCCAAATTCAAAGAAAAGGACTGACCTATACGCTTTAAGCATGCCAATGGAGCAAACACAGCAAGGGTTACAACTAGAAGAACAAAGGTGCGCCCACTCCACCAGTATGATCCAAACCACCCTTCCAACACACCAGCATGATGAATTCCACTTGAAGTTGTTCCAGAAAGCACATCACCTTCAAAAACAAGTTTAAGTGGAAAAAAAATCACTACTAAACTGCTTAGAGATGTTCTCATAATTGCGAGTACCATAAATTACATACAATATGTTAACTATAACCTTCATCAAGTAGTCATCTTAATGGCAATGAATATAGATGTTAGAAATTTAGTCTTTCTTACCTATAATAATCATGTACACTATAAGCATTCCAACGTTGTTGACTAAAACACATACTTGCAGAGCAATCCTACCATACTTTCCAAAGGCATCCCCCATAACACCTCCATAAGAGGTTGATTTCCCTGCTCTGCTAAATCTAAGTAACATCTCAATTGAAGCTTCTGCAAGGAAAGCCATAAAAATGACCATAGCAATCCCAAGAACAAGGCCCAACGCTTTCATAGTCGCAGGCAAGGCCATAATTCCGGCACCAACGATTGTGGTAGACAAATTAAACACTGCCCCCGTAAACGAAGCCCCATCAAACTCATCAAACGCGGAACACTCCTCTTGTTTAGTGGGCAACAGAGGTGCTTTCTCATCAACAACAGGTTTGCTCTTTCTCGACTTCTTCTCTTTCGCTGGCTTAAGGCTTCCAATTGTCATCCTCAAATTACTAATATGAATTATATGTGCAACAGCTCAAACTTCTAGGAATTAATTCTCACAAAAACCTATACCAAAGAGAGGGGAAGAGAAACTCATAAGAATCAACTAGGAAACCCCAAGCTGTTGCAACTTTGTTACTTTCTTGGACAATCTTGAATTGCAAAATAAGTAAAAATTAATGATACAATTAATTAAGTTGATTAAGATAAAAATAGGACTTTTTTTTGGGATCAAACATGAAGATATACAGCTCAAAAACCCAAACAGCCAAAACGGAAATCCCAATTTTCCATAACAAATGGCACGGTTAGATCTACCCAAAAACAATTATAAATTCCAATCACAAACCAAGTAAGAAATTAAGGACCCAATTAATAAAGTTGATTAAGCTGAAACTAGGATTCTTTTTAGATCAAGCATGAAGATATACAATTCTAAAACCCAAACAGAGTCAAAGCTGAAATCTCGATTTGTGGTAACAAAAGGCACGGTTAGATCAAACCCAAAAACAATTCCAAATTCCAACCAATAGGAAATTTGCAAAACCAGATCTAAAATAATTGAATCTTTCTTTCTCTATTTTAATTTTAATTTTAATTTTTTTTGGTCACATGTTCAATTGAATCTTTGACAAAAAAAAAAAAAAAAAGGAACTTTGAATACTGAAATTAGAATGTGTGCTAATAAACCCATAAACTCAAAACCCAAAAAAGAAAACGTCAATATCTACCTGAAATTGCTCGAAAGCAACTGAAAAGAACGATCAATTTACAGAAAACTAATGAAAATGTATGAAAAATTCTAGACCCAGAAACGAATCGATCGCTATCGGGCTCTGAAGTCAAAAGAAAGACTCAAAAGCTGATGATTCCAGTCAAACCCTAAAATTCAGAGACCAAGAACCAGAGAAAGCGAGGATTGTTTCCTTGTGAGTAATGGAGCTTTGGCTCTTTACTTACCCAAAAAAGGAGCTTTGGCTCCGACTATATATAAAGAAGTAGAAAGAGATAGTTTCATTCAACACGTAACGCAACGTTGTTCAATAATCAATTACCAGTATTTTTGTACACCAACAGTTCTAATCTACGATATGACTGAAGAATTTGGTGGGATTTCACCGTAGTTTTCAATGGAATGGAAATTTTTAGGGGTTTTTTTTCTCTCTCTCTTCCTTTCACAAACTGCCAAAGTCTCCCTCAAATGGGCCTGCTTATCCAATCAGATCGCATTATCTCGTTCACAAGCCGTTACCATTTTGGAGGGAAACAGTAAAACGTGTTATTGTACTGAAATTCATACATAATTTTATTTGATTTTTTTTAACAGAATTATTACATTTCAGTGTATGACAATTAAAAAAAAAAAAAAACCATTTCAGTGTATGAATTTATTTATCTTTTATTTATATTTATTTATTTTTTGTATATCATTACTGTTATTGTTTTGTTTTCACAATAGTTTATATTTGGGTCTTAATTTCTAGTGTTAGTAATAAAATAAAAAAGTCATTAAAATGTCAGAAAGTCAAATAATTATACAAAAAAGTCTCTTTATTTTTTACACATTTTTTGATAAAAAATTAAAAAATTATTCTAAACATAATATTACTAAAATAGTTTATATTCCCAACCCAATCCGTTGACCCAAAATTTAGGGAATTCAAACTAGTGACCTACATATTTTTAGACGTTTATCGTTCTAAAACTTGCATTCAGCTAATCGTTTAGTTTTCTTTTTTATTTCCCTTACGTACCATATGCAAATTATAATCTAATTTGATGGTGGTTACAAACTATTATAATATTTCGTTTTTGGGTTATTGTGGTGGTAAGAAAAAAAAATTATCAAATCAAAATTGATTATAATCCATTACGGTATTTGATAATGTTTTAAAATAATATTAATTACGATACATTGCAATAATTTTGGTTATGATTAAAATAAGGATAAATTACACCGACACTCATGAGATATGGTCCAATTATATTATATCCCTTTACGTTTTGAAAATTACTTTCTCAATCTTGTGGTTAATAGTTTCATTTCACAAAACCCCCCTACTTATATAAAAGACAACAACTCCTAGCAAAAAAAAGAAGAAATTATATTAAAAAAAAGTAAAGCAAAAGAAAGGAAAAAAATAATAATAATAATGATTGAGACCCTCGCAAGACCACACAAATTTAGACTACTCATGATGTGACTCTCATATATATATGAGTGGGCCCCACACATACATGGAGGGCCAGGATCACTTTGGGGTGTAGGGGTCATCCCTAAAAGAGGTCCTAAACATTTTTCAAAAAAAAAAAATAAAATAGAGGAAATAAAGCAAAATAATAAAAGAGAGAGTGTATAAGTTCAATATTTTCATTCTTTCTAAATAATTATAATAGGGGATTAGTGTAATTTTCTAAATATCAAAGGGTGATATGTATTAAGCTCAAACGTTAAGGGGTGTAAATGTAATTTACCCTTAAAATAATCTTCAATTATATCTAATGTTAACTACTACCCTATATAATTATGCTTAATGGTCCAATTTTTATTTATTTATTCATGTATTTTTTAAGTCAAAACATACGAAATAAGAGTGGACAGAATGTGTAAGCCAAAATTTCCAAAGATACATACACTTGTGAATTACATTTCTGTAGGCACGTGCTCTACACGCGCTTATAATTGACCCCATCGAATAAACATTTTCTCATTTATTCAATTTTGGTTTGTATGTCCTAAATACTAATTAAGAATCTTAGCCAGCCACCCACCCCGCAACCTACTTTTCAAGAATCCAATTAAAAATACAATAATAATTCATCCCCCCTTTTCCCCCCACCCCCTTTGACCCCCTCTCTCTCTCATTGGTTACATTTTCTTTTTTTTTTCTTTTTTTTCCTGCTCCTCCAATCACCACCCGCCATGTGACAAAGGGGGTGAGAGGGTGACCCCTAAAAGGGGGTCCCAAGCATTATTCTTAAAAATATTAAACAAGATAAATATGATGTTCAAAGATTTCAAAGGTTGTATAATTCATCCACTAACATTAATTAAACAATTTAATTAAATAAAAACTAGATTAATGCTATTTTTTTCTGGTGTAAAAGAATTATTCAAGGAGTATTATTTTTTTGAGTTACCAAACAAGAATAATAAATCTTTTTTTTTTTGAGTAATGAGTATTTATTTTATTTTCATTTTATTAGTCAAATCAAACAAAAACAAATAGAAAAATGCTTCAGACCACTAATTCAACACCACTAATGATGTGGCACCATGTGGATCCCACCATGATGTGATAATTTGGCCTTTGTTTATATTGTTCATTTTTCATTTTTTTTCTTAAACTGCCAGCTCATTAAAACTGACATTATTTTAGAGCACTCAATCATTTCTCAAACAAATATGAGTTCGAAGCTATGAAGCACGGATACCTCTCCGAGGGCTCCGTACCAGTGTCGGACACGGACACCCTTCAAACACGTAGTGGACACGTGTCTGACACGCAACAGAGAGTGACCTATTTTTTATTTATTTATTTATTATTATTATTTTGCATCTGGACATATTCCGACACTTGTGGGACACGTTCGGGGTCAATTTCAGAATTTATAAAACATCTTTGGGGTCGATTTGTAAAAAAATAAAAATAGAATAATATCTGCTCTAAATCGAGTTAGGAACAAAAGAGAAAGAGAGAAAAAAGAGAGAGAGAGAAGACGAAGAGAATAGAAGAGAAAGAGAGACCTGGTCAATTTTCGGTGGTCGCTCGTCACTCCTTGTCACTTGTCGCTCCTCGTTCGTCACTCATAGCTCGTTATCTAAGGCACACCTTCTTCGATCTTCTTTGTCATTCTTCTGCTTCGATTTTCTTCGTTTTTCTTCTGCTTCGATTTTCTTTTTCTTCTTTTTCTCCGATCTCTCTGTCTCAGTCGCTCTCTCTCTCTCTCTCTCTCTCTCACTCTCTCTGTGTCTCAGTCACCCTCTCTTTGTCTTATTTTGTTTTTTCTTTTCTTTTCTTTTTTCGTTTATATGCTGAGTGTATTGTCTCTCTCTCTCTCTCTGTCTTCTATTTTTTTTTTTCCTAATTTCATTTTATATATATATTTTTCTCTTTGTGCCTCTATCATTTTAGTATATAATTTTTTTTTGTTGATTAGTTTTGTTAAGTTTAATAATGTGTGTTTATTAATTTTTTTTAATAGGGTTATTTTGTATTTTTTTATTAACTTTTAATGATTTTTTTAATAATTTTATGACATATAATAAATAAACTTAATTATATATATTGAACATGTCGCCAGCGTATCGTATCTCCTATTTTTTCAAAATTTTACGTGTTCACATGTCCGTACCCGTGCTTCATAGGTTCGAAGGTAATTGATATGATAGATGAGATACTCTCTTATTGTCTAAATTGTTCAAGTCTTTATTTTGAATTGACCACTTTTCTTTCTAAATTATATATATACAAGCCAAATTGTATGTTATAAATCTAATCTAATTGTTAATAGTTGGGTCATGTTTGTAACTGTTTTATGGTTTGTCATTAAGGTAAAATGTAATTTTTTTTACATGTTTTGAAACACATATATTTTAATATATATTACATATTTTTTTACATATATGTGAGACTAATGACTCCCCATCCAACCATTAGTAGTATTTTACTTGAAGGTTCACTTTTTCTCCTTTATTGAAACGCAATTCACTGCTTAGGCTAGCTTTAATGCATTAAAAATGACTTATTTTATATTCTTAGAATATCATGGGTCATTATTTACATAAATTTTTAGTTAATGAAAAATCACAACATGAACTAAGTAAATTGTCATTTATTTTCTAATTGCTTAATAAAATTGAGTATGTCCCATTCATATATATGTTTTTATTTTTGTTATTTTATTAAATTGATTTGAAACATTATATAAATAATGTCGCATAATACTTAAGATTATATATAATTTTCTGAATTATGGGAGGTTATATATAGTTATTGGAATCACTATAGGCCTCACCATTGTTGGCTCTAATTGGTTTGTCGTGTAATCATAGTTAGGCACTAATAATCAAAATCATGTCACTATATGTCACGACCCAAACCCGCCCCTATGGGTTTAGCACCGTAACCGGCCAGTAATCCAAGATTACCGAAGGCCTACTTAACAGTAATACAGTAAAACAGAGTACAGGGGCATGGCGGAAGCCAAAATAGTAAATAAACAATGTCCAATGAGCTGTGACAGTCTGTATGCCAAAAAGACTTTTATACACATATACATGAACAGTACAGAACAGTATGTACATATATACAATCATTCAGTTCAGGGGCCTCATCCCTATTAAACAGTACGGTAACAGTCTATACAGTTATACAAAATAGATACAGAGACAGACGGGAAAATTAAAACACCCCTAAGCCATAACTTGATAGGCTCGGAACCTCGCAGTGAGGCACAGTGGTTGGCTTGACAAAACTGGAGCTTAACCCTGACGCTTCTAGCCGCGGTCTGGTGCCTGTACACCTACATATATATATGAGCAGTGAGCTAAAGCCCAGTGAATAACGTAATGCGTAAAGAGGTTAAGAATGAATGTCCTTATAGTAATGAAAACAGTTCGTTAATTCAGTATATCAGTCATTCAGTCATATGTGGTACATCCATTAGCATAACAGTACAGTAAATAGTAGGTCTTAAAAGACTGAACAGTAAATGATGGCCATCGATTAGTAAACTGTAGTGGTTCCAACAAGGGAACCGATAGAGATCTCTGTAACAGTAACAGTAAACAATAGTTGCTAAGGATGCCATAGTACAGTTCAGAATATAGGACATACATTCATTCAATTAACAGTATTAGTTCAGAAAGCAGTACAGTTCAATTGTTCAGAAGATAATCATTTTGAACATATCTTTATATAGTTGTTACTCATAGAGTTCTGGGTTACAG